AGGCCTTAATGGAAGCAAGAAAGGTTCAAACTAGATATGAGAAACTTTTTTTAACATGAGGAAGGTTAAGCAGTGGAGCTAGAGCCCAAAGAGGCTGTGCAGTCTCCATCCTTGGAGGTTTTCAAGACAAGACAAAGCCCTCAGCAACTTAAATCTGATCTCATCATTGTCCTTGCTTTGAGCAAAGTGAGTTAGAGCTCCTGGACTCCCTTCCAACTTGAATTATCCTATGATCCTACATCTGCCTGCTGCAGTACAGGCAGCCATTCTGTTATAGTCTGAGGGCAGCTGTGCCAATGTGATGCTATGCTAGGAGTGGGTGATTTACAGTGCCCTGAAAAACTTCTGCAGTGAACACATTGTCTGCTGAAGGAGAAAAGTCCCTTCTAATCTGAATTATGCTGTGATCTTGTGATATTCCAGAAAAGCAGGAAAATAGGGGTAGGGGAGGAGGAGAAGGAAGAAGGAAAACTTTGTCATGGTAGCATGTCTGACTGAAAATATCAGCAATTAATGGGTAATGCATAACACAGATTTGTGAATTTATAGAAGTGCTTAGTATCTTTTTGTTTGAAAATTAAGGTGATTAGACTTTAGAATATGGTTGTGTTTGGGGCAGCATTCAGACAGCAGGAGCATAGAATACTCAACTGACAGGTAACAAAGAAGGGTCTACAGATTTGACACTGAGAACATTTCCTGGCAAAGTAAATGAGCTTGATTATTGGCCTATTAGCTAGCAGATGATATTGGGTGTATGTGACAAGGTTTTGATAGCAGGGGCAGGGGCTACATGGGTGGCCTCTGTAAGAAGAGGTCAGGGGTTGCACTGTGCAAGACACAGCTGATTCCAGTCAGCTCAGTAATGGCCCCACCACAGGCCACAGCTGAGTCCATCAGTGAAGCTGGTAAGGGCTCTGTGAAAACATGTTTAAGAAGATGCAAAAATGCCAGAAAGTGGAGGGGGGGGGGACAGAAGTGTGAAAAACAACAGTGAAAACAACAGTGAGAACACCAAGGTCAGAGAAGAAGGAGGGGAAGAAGGTGCTCCCTGATTCCTGTGGAAGAGACCACAGTGAAACAGGTATTTCCCTGTGGTCCATGGACAACCCATGCTGGAGCAGATTCTCCTGGCAGGTACTGCAGCCCATGTGCTATAGTCCAATACTTTCCGACCTGGTTCTTTTAGATATTTCACAAAAGGAGGTTGTAATATTTTAACACCAAATTTACTTATTTGAATATGTTTGATGTTACACAGGATTTTGATTTAGCAGTGATACAACAATATACTGAAATTCCAATGCAAACATAATATAGCAATTGCAATATGCAGTTGAATCACAATACAAACATAATTCCCATTGCCAATATCTACATGCTCACCATCCCAATGCTGTGCATCTCCAGTTATCAGGAAGGAATACATGGGTTGAAGCCAATACAAGGTGACCTGTCGTTGTCGGGACGGACACCACACTGGGATTTCACACAGAAAAAGCCTTTATTTCATACAAACATGGTCAATTTATAGTCTCCCCTAGCCAGCGTGTTTCACCACCATTGGTGCCCTTACTACATACACATCTTAAGATTGGCTGCTCTATAGCTTCTGCAACTCAGGGTGACTCAGCAAACAGTCCAGGCTCTCTGGCTATCACAGTTGCCCTGCAGCTCCGTCCTTCCTGTCCACCTTCTCATCTTCATTGTTTACATTCCTTCACAACTTCACAGCTGCAACCACTCAAATTCAGGGCCCAAGCTGTCCACAGCTCAATTGCCTCCCACAGTGACCAATTACCGTCACGGGCAAAACAGTTTCTACTTGTGGAAAATTAATTTATTGGCAATTAAAAGAGATTTGGATACTGAAAAAAAAAGACAAAATATTAAAGCCCTACACACCCTTCTTCCCAGGCTCAACTTCACTCCTTCCTTCCTGACTCTTCTACCTCCTCCCCCTGCCCCAAGCAGCACAGGGACAATGGGGAATGGGGTGTTAAGGTGAGCTCATAACAGGTTCTCTCTGCTCCTCCTTCCTTCTCACACTTTTTCCTTGCTCCAATGTAGGTCATCTCCATGGGCCACAGTCCTTCAGGCTAAATCTGTTTCAGTGTGGAGTCTTCTCCAAAGGCCACAGGTCCTGTCAGGAGAACCTACTCCAGTGTGGGCTCTCCATGGGCCACAGTTCCTTCAGGAAATATCCACTTGCTCCAGCACGGGGTGTTCCACAGGCTGCAGTGCAGATATCTGCTCTGGCGTGGTCCTCTCCACAGGCTACAGGGACATACGTGCTCCACTGTCTCTTCCAAAACTTCCACAGGCTGCAGGTGAATATCTGCTCCAGCTTCTGGAAAACCTCCTCCCTCTCCTTCTCTGACCTTGGTGTTTGCAGGATTGTTTCTCAAACTTTTCCCCCTTCCTCCACATTGCCATGCCCTTTCTTAAATATGTTTTCCCAGAGGTGCCACTAGCTTTGCTGATTTCCTCATCTTTGCCCTCTAGTGGGCCCATTGCCGAGCCAGCTGGAGCTGGCCATGTCCAGCATGGGGCAGTCCCTTGGTTTCTTCTTACAAAGGCCACCCCTGCAGGTCTCATCCCTTCCCCCTGCCTTTGCTACCAAAATCTTGCCACATAAACCCAATATACCTTATTTCCATCTCTTGGAGGTGTCAAGTTGAACATTACATTTTCTTTGCACTGAAAGGTGCAGAGGGAAACTACCTAGGGATTGGTTTTCTATTTTTGTCAAAGATCTTCCTGTTGCACAAATACCAGAAGACAACACAAAACGTTCCCCTGCTACAATACAAACTGCACAGCTTAATCCACCCTGGAGTGAGTTTACAAGAATTGTGTTGCAACCACAAAAACGTTTTTCTGTTGCTAGGAATACTGCCTAATTTGGTTCCAGCCATTAACCATCTCTCACTGAGGTCAACAGCTCTGGTGCAGGCTCGTCCTGCAGCCGAGCAGGGGATCACAGTGAGCAGGGCAAATTTCTAGTGCCAGAGGAATGGCAGGAGAGCGCTGAGACCCACATGGAGCCGGCAGCTTACCCTAGAGTGGCTGACTCAGCATGGATGGCAGCTGTTCCCACTCTCATAAGGGACCTGTAAGGATTGTGGCACATCAGCAGGGTGTGGCACATCAGTTTGCTCAGCAGTTTGAGCAGGAAGGGCGCTGAGGCACTGCAGCTCAAGTGGTTAGGTCAGTTGGTGGTCATTGCACACATAGAGAGAGCTTGGGTATGGTGTCCACTTGGCAGGGAGCCAAGTCATCTATGCTCACCAAAAAAGATGTAGAGGAGCAGACAGAGCTCCCCAAAAAACATGCAGTCGATCAGGTTTCGGGCTGTATGGAGTGCCAAAGCCTTTCACTGGACTGTAGCAGAGATAGCAGCTGTGTCAGATATGACCAGGTGGACAACATGCTCAGCCTGGTAGTAGAGTGATAAGGTAGAAAGGTTAAGGAGTATTAGAGAATCAGAGAGGGAGATAGACTGGTGGAACCATGCTCTGGCCTCCCTGAGACAGGAGCAGCCTCCAGAAATAATTCAAGATCAAGGGGATCCTGTATCCATCCCCCAGCAAGAAGCAGGTACCAGTTGTGAAGAAAGGAGCGAATGGAGGGTAGTCCATGCTTGGGATGGAAAGCTAAATCCTTCTTCACCCACCTCACCCCGCCAGGTGCCTCTGCACAATAGGTATGCGGCTTTGTATGTGGAAGATCAGCCAAAGGATGAAGAGGATGAAGGTCTGGTTACACCAGAGGTGTTACCACAATCAGAAAAGTCAACCCCCTGTATTACAACCGCTTCCAAGAGGAAGAAAAGACAGGTTATAGTTGTAGGAAATTCCCTTCTAAGGGGAACAGAGGGCCCAATATGCCAACCGGGCCCAACCCATAGGGAGGTCTGCTGCCTCCCTGGGGCCTGGGTTAAGGACATCACCAGGAAACTTCTTAGCCTGATGCAACCCTCAGACTACTACCCATTACCGATCTTCCACATAGGGTGCGATGAAGTGGCAACATGTAGACTGAGGGCGATCAAAAAGGACTTCAGGGCCTTGGAGTGGTTGGTGAGGGAATCTGGGGAACAAGTTATATTCTCCTCTATCCTTTCAGTTGAAGGCAGCAATGTTGGAAGAAACAGACAGTCCCAGTCTTAATACATGACTCTGCGTCTGGTGTCACCACCAAAGTTTTGGGGTTTTCGACAATGGAATGGCCTACGCAGCACCAGGCATGCTAGCATCAGATGGGACTTACCTTTCTCAGAAAGGGAGGAGAGTCTTTGCTCAGGAACTAGCAGAGCTCCTTAACAGAGCTTTAAACTAGATGTGATGGGGAGGGAGACAATGTCCTGCTTGTCCCTGGCAAGATGTGGGATGAGATGCAAAGGTTAGAGGGACAGGGTGCTAGTGAGGGCCCTCTGCCCATGACTCTGAAATGTGCTGGCCACACTGGAACACACTTGCAGTCCTACAGAGACGAGCCAGGGACTTGTCAGAAGTCAAACAGGGAAACACCAGGGAATATCTCAAAGGAATTAAGGGGTGTTCCTCTAGGAAGGTGACACGACCGACAGCCCAGCTGAGGTGCCTTTGCACCAATGCACACGACATGGGCAACAAACAGGAGTTGGAAGCCACCGTGCTACTAGAAAGCTACGACCTTGTTGCCATTACTGAAACTTGGTGGGACGAATCCCATGACTGGAGTGCGACTATCAATGGCTATGGGCTGTTCAGAAGAGACAGGGGAGGAAGGAGAGGTGGAGGAGTTACCCTCTACATCAAGAGGTGGATTGGGTGTGAAGAGTTGTCTCTGAAGAACAGCCATGAGCAGTCGAAAGCCTGTGGGTAGGAATCAGAGACCAAGGCAACAAAGGGAACCTTGTGGCTGGTGTCTACTAGAGGCTGCTTGACCAAGGGGAGGCTAGTGACGAAGCCTTCTTGCTCCAGCTACAAGAGGCATTGCACTTGCAGGCTCAGGTTCTACTGGGGGACTTTAACAACCTGCGGAAAAAATAGCACAGTGAGCTGCAGGCAATCCAGGAAACTCCTGGAATGCATGGAGGAGAGCTTCTTGAGCCAGGTAATAGACAGCCCTACCAGAGAGGATGAGATACTGGATCTGATGGTCACCAATGAAAGTGAGCTAATCGGGGACATCAAGACTGGAGGCAGCCTGGGCTGCAGTGATCATGCACTGGTGGAGTTTGCAGTCCTGAGGGATGTGGGTCAGGTAAGGAGTAAAGTTAGGCCCCTGAACTTTAGGAAAGCAGACTTCCAGCTCTTCAGGGAGATAGTCAGTGGGATCCCCTGGGAAACTGCCCTTGGGGACAAGGGAGTGGAAAAGACCTGGTTGATCTTTAAGGAAGTCTTCCATAGAGCACAAGAGCTAGTGATCCCCTGTAGCAGTGAATCTGCCTTGTATGGGAAGCTGTGGTTTGAGTGTGTTTCAAAATGGCTTTCTGTGGTCCCTGTGCTGGCTCGTGCTTTCTTCTTCCCAAAATCCCCCATGGCCAGTTCTTATCTCTGTCTCAGGAATGTCCTGAGAAGATATCAAGAAGTCTTCTCATTGGACCTTTTAACCCCTTCCTGCGATTGGGTGTCCTGTAAGCCCCCTGACCCCGTAATTGGTCACTCTGTGAATCCTCCAAGACCTATATATGTAACTGCCTCATCAATAAACTTGCTCTCTCACCTCCTCTCCACGTGCTATGTGCTGTCTCTCCGGCTGCCATGGGACCGCGTGGGTGGGGGGAGGGGTGAGCACCTAACCCCTCCATGCGTCCAGGACCCTGAAGAAACCCCTGGAGCTGGAGTAACCCCTTCCCTATCCACCTCAAGCCGTTGGAAATGGTTCCTCAGATGGAAATGGAACTAGGACTGGTGCTGCCCCACATCATAGGAGGGGAGAGAGATCCAGAATCCCCAGGAGCAAGAAATTGGGCAAGGAAGGGAAGAGACCAGCATTGCTGGTCAAACTAAAGGGAAAGAAGAAAATGCACAGGCAGTGGGAACAAGGACAGGTAGCCTGGGAAGAGTATAAAGATGAAGTTGTGTAGGGATAGGGTGACGAAGGCCAAGGCAAAGCTGGAACTGAACCTGTCAAGGGACGCAAAGAACAGCAGGAAGGGCTTCTACAGGTATGTCAGCCAGAAAAGGAAGGTCAAAGAAGGCATATCCCCCGATAAACAATGATGGAAAACTGGTAACAACGGATGAGGAGAAGGCTGAGGTACTTAACAACTTTTTTGCCTCGGTCTTCAATGGCAACCTCTCTTCCCGCATCTCTCAAGTGGATGGACAGCAGGATGGGGACTGGGGGAGCAAAGTCCCTCCTACTGTAAGTGAAGATCAGGTTCATGGCCACCTGAAGAACCTGAACGTATATAAGTCTATGCGACCCAATGAGATGCATCCCAGAGTCCTGAGGGAATTGGCTGATGTAGTTGCCAAGCCACTCTCCATGACATTTGAAAAGTCATGTCAGTCAGGTGAAATCCCAGGTGACTGGAAAAAGGGAGACATTGCACCCATCTTTAAAAAGGGTGGAAAGGAGGACCCTGGGAACTACTGACCTGTCAGCCTCACCTCTGTGCCTGGGAAGATCATGGAACTGATCCTCCTAGAAGCTACGCTAAGGCACATGGAGGACAGGGAGGGGATTCAGGACAGCCAACATGGCTTCACCAAGGGCAAGTCCTGTCTGACCAACCTAGTGGCCTTCTATGATGAGGTGACTACATCAGTGAACAAGGGAAGGGCTACAGATGTCATTTATCAGGTCTTGTGTAAAGCCTTTGACATGGTCCCCCCCAACATCCTTCTCTCTAAATTGGAGACAGATGGATTTGATGAGTGGACTGTTAGATGGATAAAAAAGTGATTGGATGGTCACATCCAGAGGGTAGTGGTCAACGACTCAGAGTCCCAATGGACATCAGTGACAAGTGGTGTCCCTCAGGGGGCTGTATTGGGAACAGTGCTATTAAATATTTTCATTAACGACATAGGTGAAGGGATTGAGTGCACCCTCAGCAAGTTTACAAATGACACCAAGCTGAGTGGTGCTGTTGACACTCCTGAAGGACAGGACACCATCCAGAGGCACCTGGACAAGCTCAAGAAGGGACCCCATGGGAATCTCACACAGTTCAACAAGACCAAGTGCAAGGTAGTGCATCTGGGTTGGGGCAACCCCCAGTATCAATATAGGCTGGAGGATGACCAGATCGAGAACAGCCCTGCTGAGAAGGACTTGGGGGTGTTGGTGGATGAGAGGCTGGACGTGACCCAGCAATGTGCACTTGCAGCCCAGAAAGCCAATTGTATATTGGCCTGCAATTCTGCAATGATTCTGCCCGTCTATGCCAGTCTCGTGAGACCTCACCTGGAGTACTGCATCCAGTTCAGGGGTCCCAAGCACAGGAAGAACATCGACCTGTTGAAGCGAGTCCAGAGGATGGCCACCAACATGATTAGAGGGATGGAGCACTTCTCCTATAAGGAAAGGCTGAGACAATTGGGTTTGTTCAGCCTGAAGAAGAGGTGGCTTTGGGATGACCTAATTGCAGCCTTCCAGTACCTGAAGGGAGCCAACAAGAAAGATGAAAAGGGACTTTTTACAAGAGAATGTAGTGACAGGATAAGGGGAAATGTCTTTAAACTGAAAGAGTTGATTTAGATTAGACATTAGGAAAAAATTCTTTACTGTGAGGGTGGTGAGGCACTGGAACAGATTGCCCAGAGAAGCTGTGCATGCCCCATCCCCAGAACTGTTGGGGCCAGGTTGGATGGGGCCCTGAGCAACCTGGTCTAGCAGAAGGTGTCCCTGTCCACAGCAAGAGGGTTGGAACTAGATGATCTTTAAGGTCCCTTCCAACCCAGGCTGTGATTCTGTAATTCTCTTAAGCAAACTGAAGACTTGCCAGTGATCTAGACTGAACACAGCAGACCTCACAAGCCATGTAGGCTGCTACACATCAAGGCACTCTTTCCAGTACAAGCACTTTTGGGTCTATTTCTGCAGGAGAGGATTTGGCAGAGTGGAGAGTGGGGAATCCTTGTACACAGGCAGCAGCTAAGTCATTTAAGGTGTTTTGTTATTTTAGTTTAGGTTCAGGGCATACCTCCTATCATTTCCAGGGAACTACAGTTCCAGGGAACTACAGACCTATCAGTCTGACCTCAGTGATGGGGAAGGTTATGGAGCAGATCATCTTGAGTACCATCACACAGCACATACAGGACAACCAGGGGATCAGGCCCAGCCAGCATGAGTTTATGAAAGGAAGGTCCTGCTTGACTAACCTGGTCTCCTTCTATGAAAGGGTGACTTGCTCAGTGGATGAAGAAAAGGCTGTGGATGTGGTCTACCTGGACATAAGTAAAGCCTTTGACACTGTTTCCCACAGCATTCTCTAGGAGAAACTGACTGCTCATGGCTTGGATGAGTGTACTCTTTGCTGCGTAACAAACTGGCTAGATGGCCCAGCCCAGAGAGTTTTGATGAATGGTGTGTTGGTTGCTGGTCACAGTTGGTGGCTGGTCACAAGTGGTGTTCCCCAGGGCTCAGTACTGGAGCCACTTTTACTTAATATCTTTATCAATGATCTGGACGAGGGGATTGCATGCAACCTCAGTAAGTTTGTAGACAACACCAATTGGGTGGGAGTGTTGATGTGCTTGAGGGTAGAAAGGTTCTTAAGAGGGATCTGGACAGGTTGGATCGATGACCCAAGGCCAATTATATGAGGTTTAACAAGGCACTTGCACTTGTCACAACAACCCCATCCAACACTACAGGCTTGGGGAAAAATGTCTGGAAAGCTGCCTGATGGAAAAGAACCTGGGGTTGTTGGTTGACAGACAGCTGAACATGATCCAGCAGTGTGCCCACGTGGCCAAGAAAGCCAATGGCACCTGGCTTGTATCAGAAATAATGTGGCCAGCAGGACTAGGGACATGATTGTCCCTCTGTACTTGGCACTGGTGAGGCTGCACCTCGAATACTGTGTTCACCTTTGGGCCCCTCACTACAGGAAGGACACTGAGGTGCTGGAGTGTGTCCAAAGAAGGGCAAAGAAGCTGGTAAAATTGTCTTTTACAGCAGGGGCCAGATTAAGTTCTAGTTGGGATTGGGCCCTTCTAATTTTCTCCCTGTATAACCTCACAACATCTTTGAAGTCCACGTGAGTTACCTGCCCCTCCTCCCATAGAGCATAAACTCTCCTTCTTTTCCTGAGTTTCAGACAAAGCTCTCTGTTCAGCCAGACTAGTCTTCTTCTCCGTTGGCTCATCTTTTTGCTCCTGTGTGTTTAGGATTTCCTTCTTGAAGAATATCCAGCTTTCCTGGACTTCTTTGCCCTTCAGGACTGCCTCCCAAGGGACTGTCTTAACCAGTCTCCTAAACAGGTCAAAGTCTGCCCTCCAGAAGTCCAAAGTGGCAGTTCTGCTGAACCCCTTCCTTACTTCTCTGAGAATTGAAAACTCTTTCATTTTGTGATCACTGTGCCCAAGACGGCCTCCAACCACCACATCACCCACTAGTCCATCTCTGTTCACAAACAGCAGGTCCAGCAGTGCACCTCCCCTGGTTGGCTCACTCATCAACTGTGTCAGGAAGTTCTCTTCCACATACTCCAGGAACCTCTTGGACTGTGTTCTCTCTGCTATGTTGCATTTCCAGCAGACATCTGGTAAGTTGAAGTCCCTGTGAGAACAAGGACCAGCGTTTGCAAGATTTCTCCCAGCTGCTTATAGAATATTTTGTCTGCCTCTTCATCCTGGTTGTATGGTCTGTAACAGACTCCCACCAGGATATCTGCCTTGTTGGCCTTCCTCTTCTAACAGCCACAATAGGAAAGACTTGGTTGTAGCTGGTCTGATCTGATTTGGAACTCATGCATGTGTGGTGTTTATACACACTGACCACGGGAAGCATGTCTGCGCATACCTGCAAGAGTCCCATGCAAACAAAGTAACATTCCAGAAAACATCAGCCACAG